TGCTGTATAAGTTATTCTTGTTTGTAAACCTAGACCTTTTTGAAATATTCTATCTCAATGTTTTTGCTCCTTTAAATGCTATCTGCTAAATTGTGTATAATTCCAAATATGATTTTTTCTTAACTTGAATTCTTTTTTTCTGGTTTCCTGTAATTTTTTTCAGGAGGTAACCAATGGATTCTTTAATTTTTACTTTACATTCTGGTTCTAAGATATATGGGCAGTTTTATAATGTCTTGAAATATGATATATAGGCTCTTCCTCTTCTCCCTCCCCCCCATGACTTTCAGGTAGTTCAATGATTCTCACATTCTCTCTTCTCAATGTCTTTTACAGGACAGTTGTTTTTCCTATCAGATACTCTACATTTTCTTCTATTTTCTTTTTCTTTGGACTTCATTTTATTATTTCTTGATGTCTCATGGAATCATTAGCTTCCGTTTGACCAACAATCCATTTCAAGAAATTATTTTCTTTGGTAAGCTTTTGTGCCTCTTGTTTTGACTTGCTAATTTTTTTCATATCTTTCTTCTGCAGTTTATTTTCCTATGTTTTTTCATACTGCTCTCAGTTCATTTTTAAAATTATTTTTAGCTCCTAAAACAAAACAAAACAAAACAAAAAACCTCTTGCTTTAATTCTTCAAGGAATTCTTGTTTAACTTGTGTCCAAGTTGTGTTTTTCTTTGAGGCTTTGCATATAGATTTTTAAAGGGAGTTATTCTCTTCTTCTGTGCGCTCACTGAGAGGCTCTGCAAATTCAGAACAGTTGAACTGTGTGCAGGTTCCTCTTTGGTCTGGGACAATTGCCCTGCTTATTTCATTGTAGGTGTCTACACTGAATTAGAGGCTAGAACTGAATCCTTCCTCTGGTCCTGGGATCAGAGCCACCCAAATATGCTTTTTTGTCAGACTTAGAAGGGATCACAGAGATCATTTGGTCTAAAACTCTAACCTTATGGAAGAAGAAATTGATATATTGGGAAGGGAAGTAAGCATGAACCATATTACAGAGAACTGAGTTTTTTTTTCCAGAAGTGAATTTCATGTTTTATCATATTCTTTTTCTCTGGTAGTTCTGGAAAACTGGATTTTAAAAATTTCTCTATCATAATTTTTTGCTCTTTGAGTCCTATATGGGTGATCCACTTGAAGTGTTTCCAATCCAGTACTATTAGAATGAAACTTTTTCCTAACACTGTCCCTATGATTATTTTACTTTAACTTACCATGTAGCTATTAGACTAGCACCGTGTTACCTGTTTTCCTACATAAACAGCCCTGAAAAGCTTTGCAGTAGTGACCACATCCCAGTAAGATGGCTTAGTTAAGTATCTGCCCAATATGCCACCCAAGGATTATGCAGGTGATTTACTGGAGCCTGAATTCAGTGATGGCTGCATTATTGGGATAAGGGCTAAGTGGTAGGTGTGGCTGGATTTGAGTGTGAAAGCTTTATGCTGATACCTGAGTCATACACTAAAGAGAGCTAGGATTCTGTTCTGTATGTGACATCCTGCCAGTGGCCAAACTGTATGTGTGTAGATTTTAGTCTTGAAAATTGTTTTAGATGAATGATCGTATAATTATAACATTAGTCAAAAGCACTACCAAACCAGATTTTGTTTTTTCTGCTTAGGCAGCTGCTCTAGTTCACATCTATCTGGATGGATCTGTGCTAGTGACTCATTCTGGCATTGAAATGGGGCAGGGGGTTCACACCAAAATGATTCAGGTAAGAACAAATAAACTCTGTGTGTGTGTGTGTGTGTGTGTGTGTGTGTGTGTGTGTGTGTGTATGAAGAGAGAGGGAAAAATAAAAGGAGAGGAGTTATACTTTTGTATTTTTTTTAATAAATCAATACTTTAGGGTATTAAAGTAGAGGAATAAACAATTAAGTTCAATAAGCAGTTATCAAACACCTTTTTATTAAAAAGGCAAGGAGAATATTTCAAGTAGAAGAAGCAATGGTTTTGGAGCCAGAGGACCCCAGTACAAATGCTAAAAGGTCTTGGCTTCCTTTGGGCAAATTATTTCTTCCTTCTGGGCCTCAGTTTCCTCATTATTAAGTGAGGGGTTGGAAAAGATGGCCTCTGAGATTTTACCTGAACCTAAATAATATGATCCTGTAACTTATTGTATATAAGGGCATTATTCTAGTTGTTGGGATACAAAGAAAAAACAAACAAAATCTGAGCCTGCCCTCATACATTTACACATATAAGTAAATAGAATAATTTGAGGAAGAAGGCACCAACAACTTGGAGGATCAGGAATAACTTTTTGTAGATGGCCAAGGTTTGAAAGAAGCTAACACACTTCATTGAATTGAATTCAGAAGAGACTGCCTTTTGAGCCCAAATCCCAAATTATGAATTTTGCAACCAGAAAAATATTTGGCCTGAAAACTGAAAATAGTAATCTCTGTGGACAAAAGTCTAAATTATGATTCAGAATATGATTCTGTGAGTATAAAATGAGAGCAAAGTAATTGGAAACTTATGAAGGGATATTTCTGTTAAGCTGAGGTGTAGGGGGAAAAAATCTGTCCATGGCATTAAGAAAATTTAGAGATTATACAGACCAAACATTATTTGTTAGATGAAGGAACTAAGCCCCTCTACTCTACACTTCAGGATCCTTCTATTCTTTTACTTCTTTCTTGGAGGAAGAGATGGCCATTCTCCTTGCCAACTCTCTCTACCCATTTCCTTTAAAATGACACTTTACTGCTTCAGGATCCTTCCCTTACTCTCATATTGAATCAAGACTGAGGTTTCAGCCCAGGTTCCTTGGATAAATTATTTAATGTCTTTAAGCCTTGGTTTCCTCATCTGACAAATTATTTTTGGTCTATATAATCCTGACAGAGCCCTGGACTTGGAAGGCCTGGGTTTAAATCCTATTTCAGACATTTGGTGGCTTTATGAGCCTGGAGATGTCACAACCTCCATAAGCCTTAATGTGTGCATCTGTAAACAGGGATGATAAAAGCAACTACCTCACAAAACTGCTTTGGGAATTAAATGAGATGTCAGTAAAAAAAACAAAAACTTTGCAAATCTTAAAGTATTAGATAAATGTCAACTATTATTATACTTTAGGACTCATCTGACAAATTTGTTTAATCTCTAGAGATATTAATATAATTTCTAAACTCTTTAGAGTGTAAACAGATAAATCATCATTTGTCAGATGAAGAAACTAAGGTTTTCAGAGGTTACATAATTTATCAGAGCTGAGGCCACAATCACAGTCTTTTCATTATAAATGAGAGAAAGAGAGGGAATGATTAATGGGGCAGGATCTTAGAGGAGACCAGAGAGGGTGAGAGGACTTCACCATGTACATTGATGTCCCCCCAAACAGTCTGGCTTCCCAATGTATCAGTCTCCTTAGTTCCCAACAGCTACAACTTCACTCTACCTCAGCCACAACACACTTGATCGAACTCTACCATTTTTTCTAGCTATCATCCTATATCTTTTCTCCCTTTAATTGCCAAACTGTTAAAAAGAATCATGTTCCCTCATCGCTTTCCCTTTCTCACCACTCTCACTCATTTCTTAACCTTTTGAAGCTGGCTTCCCATGCCACCACTTGCCTAAGACTGCTCTTTCCGAGGTTATCAATAATCTCCTAAATTCTAAGTCAGGTGGTCTTTTCTTAGTCCTCATACACTTGGACCTTTTTGCATTTTTTCATACTGCTAAACAGTCCCTTTATTTCAACTGATATTCAAATATATCAGTGTGTGTGTGTGTGTGTGTGTGTACAGTACAGTTTTTGTTCTGTAAAATCTGGATATAGTCAAAAGGTCACATTTAATGATCTAGAAGGCCACATGTGGCCTGAAGGTTCCCCACCCCTGTCCCAGACTAATCAAATAGTTTTCCCTTCCTTCACTTAATGATACACATATGTGCACACGCACATATTTTTGTACATATATATATGCATGTGTATGACATTTAAGATAAAGATAAACAAGAGTGGGCAAAATATTTTTAAACATGAACAGATTTTTGATATAAAAAGTTGTCTTTTCTCAGATTTATGTCAGATCATATAATGTTATTTACTAGGCTGTCTAAATGTATTTAAACTATGTCAGCTATTGTCATCATAGTTATTGTTATATTATTAGATTGTAAACTGTTAAAGAGTGGGGTCTGTGTTGCATTCCAAGCTTTTAGCACAGGAGCCTACAAATAGTAGGTATTTAATGTCTTTTGAATTGAATTGAACTTGTGGTAATAAGAGCTTATTCTCTTTGCTAGGTTGTCAGTCGTGAGTTAGGAATGCCGATGGCCAATATTCACTTGCGTGGAACAAGTACTGAAACGGTCCCTAATGCAAATATCTCAGGAGGATCTGTGGTGGCAGATCTTAATGGCATGGCAGTGCAGGTAAAATCAGAGCACTAACATATTAATCCTTGGTCTTCTATGACTAAATAAAGAATGTCCCCAAAGTCTTAGTGTAGCTTTAAACTATGAAAGCTTACATTTTTAATAAATTTAAACTATGAAGTTTAAAACTACACTAAGACTTTGGGACATGCATTATATAAGTGAAGCCCAGTAAATCTTGAAGAAATATTTAGAAATGAGAATGGAATATCATTCAAATATTTATTAAGCACCTAACTTGTTCAAGGTATTGGGGGAAAGAAGGGAGAGGATTTCAAAGAAGTCTAAGAGATCTTTCCTATCTTCTAGAAGCTTACAATCTAGTATATTGGATAAAGTGTTGAATTTGAAGTGAGGAAGACCTGGATTCAAATTCTGCCTCTGATCCTAACTAATCATGTGGGCATAGACAAGTTATTTAACTTTAGTTTCCTCTTCAGTAAAGAGGAGAAAACAAGAGAATCTGTGATTTTGTCAGCATGGGGAACTCCGATTGTGAGAGCTCCCTGTACAGCCTGTCAGTGGTAGGGGAAGTAAAGTAGGATTACATGATCATAGATCTAGGGCAAGAAAGGACCTTAGAAATCATCTAGTGTGACTCCCTCTCTCCCCCAGTTTCTAAATAAGGAAATCGAGGTCCAAGAAAGTTAAATGACTTGCCTAAGACAAAAAATGTAAGCCTCAAAGTCTGAATTTGAGCCCAAGTCCTCTAACTGTAATCAATGTTCTTTCCCCTCCCATACTGCCTGTAGGATTTATAGGATTTAGAGAAATGGAGAGAAGAGGGTTGGGCATTCCAAGCTGTGGGATATTTCCTGCATGAGTAAAGACAGAGAGACTAGAATATGCGAAATGAATTTGGAAGGCAGTGAGTTGATGAATCTGGTTGGGGGAGGGAAGTTCCATCTTGAGGAGCAGAGGGCAATAAAGTTAGAAAGGTGGACTCGATTTTCTTCTTTCAGCAGTTACATTGTAATCCCTTGCGTACAGCAGGTGCTTAATAAATATTTGTTGAATTGAATTGAATTGAATTGGAGCTGGATCTCCCCCACCCCCACCTTATTTTTACATAGACACTTCTCCTGGAATGTTCAACTAAGCCAACTACATTTTTGAGATCAGCATGTCTTGGGTAAATAAAAAATCCTACAGGATCCTGTAGGAAAAGTGCAGCCCATTTGAGTAAGTCATTCAGTATCCCCTCCATTCCCAGCTAAACCTCTTAGCTTTCATGCAAAGACCAGCTCCATAGAAAGTCCAGCCTCCAAAGAGGATTATTATTCTGCCTTGAGTTAAGCTTCTCTCACTTTTGTCCACATATGCTGGCCAACTGCTCAAGCCTCAAGTGATTCATTGTAATATATAGTTTTGGAGTAGCTTTTAATTAATTCCAGGATGAGCTGAATTCACTGGCCTGGACCCCACTTCCTCTAAGGCAAGTACATGTCTGAGCATTGTATTAGCTTATGTAACAATCACACCATGCTGCTGACTCATACTCACCTTACCAAACTATAAGACTGCTTCAACCCTTGCCGGAATTAGTAGTAGATTGTTCTTAAAAACAAACACGTTGCAAGAACAAATGAAGCTCATTCATTGAACAAACATTTATTTAGCACCTGGTGGGTACAAAGCCCTATTTAGACACTGGAAAAACCAAGATGGGCCATTACCTTTAGAGAGTTTATATATGTACTTTCATAAATCCATGGGCATTAATGACAATGAATCAATTTGCAGATTTATTTAGTGGTTTGCACCTAATTGAGCTTTAAATTTTTTTTTTAAATTTTGGACCACTTTCTATCTCAAGTACATTTGTATTAATTTTATTTAACAAAGCTACTATTTCCTTCACACATTACTAGCATAATTTTAATTTTTTCATCAATTACAGGATGCTTGTCAAATTCTTCGAAAACGTCTGGAACCCATCATTAGCAAAAACCCTCATGGCACTTGGAAGGACTGGGTAAGAGTTTCTATGTGAAAGAGTAAGAGGCAGTTCTTACCACAAAGGAAGTGCTTAATAAGGAACTTACAAATCAAACAGCTTTGATAAAGGGTTCTGAAAGGTGCCACCATGGTAAAGGAGGAAATAGACAGAATAAAGGGAAGTTTGGGGTTGGATTTTGATAACTTTAGTGGGTCATTATTAGATTCTCAAGCATCTACTTCTTAGGGAGTGGAAAACCTAATATTCTAGGGTTCAAGTGATAAAGAAAAGAAATCTCTAGGAAATGATTAAATTCCATATATTCATGGCAACTGGAAGAGGAGGTTCCCCAGGATTATTCTTCGAGGTAAGATTTTCCTATCCTGAACCATGAACTTTGATTGCGTGTTTAGAGTTGGAAGGGACCTTGGCAGCCCTCCTCACCACAATGGATCTGATAAGTGACCATTCAGCCTCTATTTGAAGACCTCCAGGGAAGGGGAGTTCATGGCCTTTGGAGGCTGCCCATTCCACTTTGGAATAATCCTGGTTATTTGGAATTTTTCCTGAGATCAAACCTAATTTTGCCTCTTTGTAAGCTCCACCTATTGCTCTTGGTTATTACCCAAACAGACCTTTCTTCCTTGCACCAGCTCTTTAAATACTTAAACTTATCAATGATGTCCTCCCTGACAGTTCTCTTCTTCATGACAAACATTCCCAGTTCCTTCAATTGATCATCATATACCATGGACTTGACACAAGAAATCATCTAGACCAAACTGTGTATTATACAGATGAGGAAACTGAGGCCTAGAGAAAGTGACTTGCTGCAGGTCACACAGTTGACAAGCTGCTAAGGCAGGTTTTGAACTACACACTGGGATTCCAAATATTCTTTCCTTAGCCAGTGATACACAGGGATGTATAACTAGGACAAATTCTATTTCACCTTTAGCATGCGAACAAATTTTAAATGTCAGAAAATTCATTGTCCATGGCATAAAGGTATTTATTTTGTGGTCAGTCATCACATATGTTACAGTGATGACTCAACTGCCAACACACAAGGAATAGAATTTTTCAATTTGCCCGAGGAGCAAAATATCTTGTTGTATCTCTGCGGGGAGTGTACACATTACATCCAGAGGGATATTCAATGCAACTGATAGAATTTGATGGAATTTTCCTTTTGTGTTCTTGTTTTTCCTTTTTAGTATTAGTACATCCACAATATTGAAATGAAAAGCTCATTCACAGATACTATAAATGTCTGCAACAGATTTGTTAACATTTTTTTGATTCTAAACAAATGCCAAGTAAATAAGCATTTCTATAAACAAAGTAGAGCAGATAATGAAAATTAAACACAAAACCAGAAATTTCCTTTATGTACAAGTTATTTTTCCTTTTAAGTATATAATAAATTCAAAATATTACTTTCAAAGTTGTCATGCTCATCTGTGTTTCCTTATGAAGTTTCTTCTATTCATTCTGTGCTTTTAAAAATGCTTCAGGGACAATTTTTTCTCTTACTTTTTTGACAATAGTATTGCTAGCCTTCTTCTCAAAAGGGGAAAAAGGAAAAACAACACTGCTGCAGAATCTTTAAAATTATTTTACACTCATAAACTATTCATGAGGTAATTAGATAATTGTATTTTATGAAGACAAGACAGGCTGTCCATATGGAAAAGGTGAAAGATGGCAGATGGCCAGCCACCAGTACTTTATTTGTACCCTCGCAATGTCAGGAGAAAGTGAGGAAGTCTCCAGCATATGGGGCATAACCCCTCGCCCCTCCATCATGGCAAACTTATGGGAGAACATGACCAAGAGCTGCGCAAGATGGGTTGGTTGTCCAATTTATCCTTGTATGGGTTGTGAGCTACATTGAGGAGATTAAAGATTCATGTGCATATGAATATTCCAAATTTAAAAATCATAACCAATTTGTCCAGAGGGCAATCAATTTTTTGGCTACTGAAGCTCTGAAAGACTAAGATGTAGAATACTTGGATTCTCTAAGAGTGGGGGAAGTGCCAGTGCTGAAACTTGAACAGAAAATTGTTCTGCATGTTATTGCAGTTTGTTAATTTAATTTGTAATAAGAAGTAACAGTTACTGACCAGAAAGAGGATTACTTAATTTAGAATAAAATTAGAAATGAGAACATAGATGAAATGTTATTTTTAGTTTTTGTTTCTTTTTAAATGCATTTCTTTTGGACTGTATCATAAGAGAGAATATGTTCCTCTTTTGCAGGCAAAAGAAGCTTTTAATCAAAGCATTAGTCTTTCAGCAACTGGATATTTCAGGTAAAAAAGCCCTTTCATCCTCATGGAATTGTTAAAATTTGAGGTGAGACCATGCCATCTCACTGCTAAAGTGAGAAAAGGAAGACAAAGGTTAATATAGAGTATTTCGAAGAAATAGATAAAAATGCTTTTTAAAAATGTGCCTTTAAAAAATAGTGGAATCAAGGGAAACTTTTGGCTCTGTTTACAATTTTGACAAAAGGTATTTTATATTTTCTAGTAGTATAGGCCACTAAAATTGAGCTTCTGTTCCCTATTTAAAAGCACCAGTGGCTGAATAGGTTCATGGGGCAACTTGTAGTTGAATAGATAATATTGCAATAAAAATAAAAGTTCAGGAATGTCTAGCAAAAGTTCTGGAGAGGTCAGGAGAGTTGCATCTCATTGTTCTTATCACTTCAAAATAATTGTTCATCATTCCTGAAGAGTTTTCTGGAGCAAACCCTTGGAAACCTTTCATGTCCAGCCTGGAGTAAACATAGAGAAAGAAGGGAAGAATTTGTGCTAATAAACTACTGACCTTAGTTATCCCTGCCCTTCTCTCTACTCTCAAATTGTATCTAACACTGAAATACTAAGGTATAGGCAAGGAACTGATGCAGATTGTCTGATCTGAAAATGGAAGTCCAGGTTAATGATAGAGAGTGATGGAGAGAATGGTGTCCTTACAGCATTATAGGTATAAGTCATGGGAGGCTAGGGCTTGGCAAGTGAGAGCAAGGGGTTTGGATGTAAGCTTCTTAAATTGTCTTCCAGTGGCCTAGTGTTAGTCTAGAACAGAGGTGTTAAACTCTGAAAGAAATGGGAGCCCTTGAATCAAATACAAGGATCCCTGTGGGCATATATTGATTTAAAAAAAAAACAGACATTAACATTATCTGTTTTCTTATATTGTTATTTATTTTGTTAAATATTTTCCAATTACACTTTAATCTGGTTCAATCTACATTCAAGAGTGTTATTTTTTTTCTTTCTTGCTTTTTGGTGAGGCAATTGGGGTTAAGTGACTTGTCCAGGGTCACACAGCTAGTCAGTGTCAAGTGTCTGAGGCCAGATTTGAACTCAGGTCCTCCTGACTCCAAGGCAAGAGCTCTACCCACTGTGCCACCTAGCTGCCTCTCAAGAGTGTTTTGAACCATGTATTTGACCCCTCTGGTCTAGAACGTATGGGTAGCTTTGAACATTTGTCAGAAAAAGCAAATATTGAGATTTTCACATTAGATTAAGCTCCAGGGTAGGCAAAATTCCTCTTGACAGGGGAATACTTTTGGAGGGACATTCATATGACCTAGAGCATTTGTTTAGGACTTTTTCAGGGGTTTGAAATAAGAGCCCAAAACAAGAGGTGTGTGTGTGTGTGTGTGTGTGTGTGTGTGTGTGTGTGTGGTTATAGTGCCATGGAAATGCCCCATTAGATTAGTGAAATGATGGCTACGTATTATGCAAGACTTCTGTCTTTCTGTGATCTAAACAATCTGGTGCATCTTCCAGAGATCTGGTTGTTCTCTGGGTCTTTTGTTTTAAACACAGCTTATAAAAGCTGTGTAATAAAATTCAACCAGAATTTTTACTATAATAAAAACTGACTACTTATAATAGTCCACTTTTATATTTTTTATAGTTACAAAGTGGTCTTCCCATAATAACTCTCTAAAGTAGTTAATGCAAGTATTATATCCATAGTTTACAGATGAGGAAACTGAGGAGCCAAATGAGGAAAAGAGGTTAAGAGCCAATCTCAGACAAGTTAAATGATTGATGTGTCATCACTCAGGTCAGGTCATTAGATGGCACAGTGGATAGAGTGCCCAGCTTACAGTCAGGAAGATGTGAGTTCAAATCTGGCCTCAGATACCTACTAGCTGTGTGACCCTGGGCAAGTCATTTAACCCTGGTTGCCCCAGTTTTATAAAATAAGCTGGAGAAGGAAATGGCAAACCACTCTAGGATCTCTGCCAAGAAAACCCCAAATGGTGTTAGAAGGAGTTGGACATAATTGAAATGACTGAATAACAACAAATCGTCACTCAGCTAGTCCAGTAAATGACAGAGCCAACATCTGAACTCTGGTATTCTACTTCTAAGTGAAGTGCTTTTACTACCACTTAAATGTACCCTTGCAAAATACTTAAAAAAACCCAAAACTACATTTCCAACAGGGGCTATGAGTCTGACATGGACTGGGGAAAAGGTGAAGGTCAGCCATTTGCCTACTTTGTTTTTGGAACTGCCTGTTCAGAAGTTGAAGTTGATTGTCTGACAGGAGATCATAAGGTAACTGCTTCCTTATACAGTCTCCAACCTAGGCCTAAATTGCAAGTTGAATTCTGTCCCTCCCTTAAAGCAGGTGATGCCAGTCTTATGTGTCAGAATCACAGAATATCAGAGTCATGAGGGACAAGTTCAAACAAGAATTTTTAAGCCATTTATGAATATGTAATACAGAAAATGTTACCAAGTATATTTGTTGGTGTTATCAGACCAGGGTGACCAGTGATTCTAAGCTCTTATGCGATAAATAATAATAGAGCATTCTTAACAGTCTGCCGAGTCAGTCTCAGGACGTCAATCCAAATTTATTGTGTGTCAGCTGAGAGTTCTATTTTCTGTTTGTCAGATAAGTGACTTTCTTTATTCAGGTAATGGACCACATACAATTTTTCATTGAATATTGGAGTGTCTTTATAGCTTCATAACTTATACAAGAGGAGTCTCCCTTCTATTCTGCCACCTCCCCTTGCTCTACCCCTTTCCCCCACCTTCTGCCAATAAACAAAATTCCTGGGTATTTCTCAAGTGATATTTTAGGCTGGTCATACGTTTCCTCATCATGTTGAGAAACAATCTCTTCTGGGGTTGAAAAAACAAGTTGACCGATTAGGCTTAGGAAGCACATGGGACCCTCACCTTGACCATTGTGAACAACCAGAGGAACGAGAGGAACAAGCTATCAGGATAGGCATAAACAATCCCAAGGTTAATGTAAGAATAATGCACCACTAGCCAGGGCTTTTGTTATACCCTGATTTGATGATATGCACTGATCCAAACAACCCTAGCATCTCTCATGGTGATGTCTATGGACTGTGGTCTGGATAAAGTTTATCACCAATGTATGGCCCGAATATATCATTTTAATGGAATCCTTTTTTTTTTTTTAAAGATTTATGAGCCTTGTTTATCTAACCCCAGACTTTCAAGCATCTGGCCATGAAACTCAAGCAGAGTCAACTCTCAATGGTCCCTATCCAGACATAATGCTTATCTCTAGGGCTTGGTGTACATGCTAGAGAGATCTTCAAGTATCATTACACAACATTTCATCTCTCCTTTATGTATTTGACTTCTCTGGCCCTTCTACCACGAGAAAGGAGATTAGAAGGCTTTCTGGATCATCTGGATTTGCACATTTCCAGATTGTGTTTAGTTCTGCCAAGGTCCTTAACAAGGTTGTAACATACTATAAAGATGATGATTCATGGAGTTCTACAAGAACGGCACTGCTGACTTGTCTTAGTAGGGGGCTTGGAATTGACTGTATGCAGGGCCTACAAAGTTCTAGGTAATCTGTTCTCATGGCTGACCTTACCCTTTCTTAAGGGGGGCAGCCCAGTGTTGTGAGAAGAACACTGGACTTCTTATCAGGAGACCTGGGTATATACATTGGTTCTAGTTCTAGGGAGAGGAAAAAACTGCATTCTTGGCACTAATTATCTATGTGATCATTGAAATGTCATGATTTCCCCCCAGAGAAGCTTGTTTCCTCACATGATGAGGAAACCTATGACCAGCCTAAATATACCATTTGAGAAATACCCAGGAATTTTGTTTATTGACAGAAGGTTGGGGAAGGGGAGGGAAGAGCAAGGGGAGGTAGTAAAGTAGAAGGAGGACTCCTCTTGTATACTTAATGTCTTTAATCCTCAATTTTCTCAGCTGTAAAATGGGAATAGTAATATGTGTACTATCTACCTCCCAGGGCTATTATGAAGAAAGTGCTTTGTAAACTTTAAAATATTATATAAATATGAGCTACTACTATTATTATTATTAAGCTACAGTCTTTCCCCTCCTCCCTCTTCTCCCAAGGCAAGCATCCTGAATAGCCCCAATAGTTCTAAGCAATTCAATTGGGTGGGCAGTCATTGACCTAGCAGAAGATTGTACTAGATTGAATGCTCCTTGAGGGACCATGCTTGGTTTTATATCTTTGTATATTATTTTTCTTTGGGATAAGCATTTGGGATAAGTATCCTGTTGGTGTTACCTGCCACCCTTTCCATGCTTAGGCTGTGGTAAAGGGCAGGAGGTCCTACTCCTTTGAGAACAGAACATGTTCCTGCCACAGCAGGTTTTGGGGACTGTCCTAAATCTTCCACCTCGGATAATGACCTCCTGTAGACTTGCTTGGCCTGTAGGCATCCGGTAGAACTTTGTCCTTTATGACTTCATCCACCAAAATAGAGACTCCCAGAACTGGAAGGAAGCTTAGAGAGTATCTAGTTTGACCTCCTATTTGTAGAAGGGGAAACAGAGGATCCAGAGAAGTGACCTGACTTGGTCAGTATCACACAATGAGTTAGTGAAAAAAGTTGGGACTAGAAGTCAAGGCTTCTGAGCCTCAGACCAGTTAATAAACCAAGACAATAAGCATTTATTAGGTGCCTGTTATGTGTAAAGCAGTGTGCTATGTGCTGGTTATACAAATGCAAGAAATAAAAATTGTCCTTGTCTTCAAGGAGATTATATTCTAATGAGGGAAGAAAACACATAAAAGGAAGAAGGAAGCTGAAAAGGGGGGAGGGAGGGGAGAAGAGATGAAGGTAGATGGTACCAGATATGGTAGAGAAAGTCCAATTCAATGCTCTTTCCACTACTCTACCCTGCTGAACAGATGAGATGAATGCTTCAAGTCTGTGAGGGTTTAGTATCCTGTATTATCAACTAATTTTTTTCTTAAGACAATAATCTAGATTAATGTTGTCAAACTCAAATAGAAATGGGGGCCACTTAACTATATATAAGGATCTCTTTGGGCCATATATTGACTTTGAAAATGACATCTATTTACATATTTATTTTTTTAAAATTAATATGTCAACACATTAAAATCAGATAGAAACTATATTTTATTCTGGTATCTTCACCTCTCCCATCCCAGACACACCGGGGTCGTTCTCAGGAGTGTAGTGGGTTGCATATTTGGCACTTCTGATCTAGATGAAGACATACCCTCAAACACTGCATCCTTCAGTTTTCATATTTTCCCTTCTACTAATTACTATAGCTAATCATGTTCCCATGACAGATGAGAATCCTCAGGGCTCTTGGGAGAGGCTGATCGGCCCAATACACCACTTTTCATTTGCAGATTAGTAGAGAAGTTGTGGTTTCTAAGTTCCAGCCTTGAGGTTCAGCCCTTTCACTACTATGAAAATAAAAACCTAGAATAAAAGATGAAATATTACACTATGGCACACCAAGTTCTATAAACAATTCATTAGCAGGAGGAATACAAATACTATTTCTTATCCTATCTTGCTATAGTTATAGAGGTATAAGACAATATAGAAAAGTATAAGCTGTTTCTAGTTTGTTGTGTCATTTCTTGTGTTTTTTGATTAATCAACTTATTTAATTGATAATTTATGACAAGTGTCATATATTTTGCTAACTATTTATTTCTTATAGAGAGAATAGTGGACAAGCTATTAAGTTGGTTAGTTTATTGATATAACTCTGAAAGCTCTTTTCACTTAATAGAATCTTTTGTTACTCCTTTCTCCTGAAAGAAGTGGGGATGTGGTGGCACCACTCAGGAGTGAATTAGTGCCAAAGATGCAGCTTTTTCCTTTCCCTAGAACTGGTTTTCAGAAAGCATAAGTAAACCTTTTTTTATTTTTTTTTTAACAGAACATAAGAACAGACATTGTCATGGATGTTGGTCACAGTATCAATCCAGCTATTGATATAGGTCAGGTAAGTGTTACCATTTTTCAGTCTTTCTGTATTTCTAACACTCGTCTTTTTAGTAATGATTGGAGTGGAACAATGCTGTGGGGATTTTTGGGGACATATTTACTCATTACTCTCATGTGCCATACCTTTACGTAAGGGTGTCCTTCCCCCATACTGGGGAATCTTTATTTCCTTCAGGGAAAAAAAAATATTCCTATTACCACATATCAGTTCAGAAAATATTTGGGTTATTTTAAAGGAGTTTGGGTATGAGAAAAGACTAAGCTTATCCAGGGTGAGGAACCTGCAGCCTCAAGACCACATGTGGCTTTCTAGGCCCCTTGAGTGGGGCCTTTTGAATGAGTTCAAGTTTTATAGAACAAATCCTTTTATTTAGGGTATTTGTTCTATGAAGTTTGGATTTAGTCAAAGGCCGCATTTGAGGACCTAAAGGACCACATGTGGCCTTGAGGCCACAGGTTCCCAACTCCTGAATAGAATTTGAAGTATAAGGTTCTCTCAGGCCTCTAATGCTACAAAATCAATCAACTAAACAATAAACATTTATCAAGCGCCTACTATATGCTCAGTTGGCAAGAAAAGTATGAGTATTGTAAACTATTCTAAGCTGAAAAATCATCATGAGTTTGTCCACAGGATGATTTTTGTTTTTTTGGCCATAGGCTCTCAAAGAGTAAAATGTTGAACTTAGATCTTAGAATCTAGTTGGAGAGGTTAGACTAATATACAGAAACCAGTAAGACAATGGTGTCTAAGTATATAATATCCTTTTAACTTGTGTCATACAAACAAGTGCTAAAGAAATTCAGAGAATGAAGAAATCATTACGTGCTCAGTTTGGGAAGTCATCATGGTATACTGAAGTAGAATACGAATTGGGCTGTGAAGGATGGCTTGTAATTAGGTATAGTGTATGGCACAACAGGCAATGAGAACGGCAAAAATGAAGACACAGAGGATAGAATAAACATTGTAAAGATAGTTAAAAATGTACAAACATTTCTGAACTATGTTGCCTACACTCTGGCCAGCCTCATTATTTCCCTTATAATATCAGAATCTTGTATTCTTCCTCCTGGGATACTGGTCTCTAACAGATGGTTTTGTTTGTTTGTTTGTTTGTTTTTTGTTTTTGTTTTTGTTTTTGCCTTACTTTTCCTGTAACCAGGCTTTTCTTGTCATTTCTTGGCCATTTCTGAACTATACCAACATATGTGTAACTTTCCCCCCATCTCTTCTTTATTTGTTGTCTTCCCCTATTGGAATGTAATCTCTTTGAGGTCAGGGACTTTTATTGCTTGTATTTTCATTCCCGTGCTTAGCACACACAGTCAGTACTGAAGTTTTTTTTTTCTTTATCATTCATTCCTGATTAGATTAATCTGATTAGAGTGGCAATAGCATACTTCTTGGTAAATATTGGAGGATGCTACAGGATAAGTACATCTTAGAATTAAAAACAGAGTACTCAATGAGGTCTGATGGAAAATATTGCCATAGTATAGGGGAACTGGGGGGACTTTGTGGAAAGAGATACCATTTGAGATAGAATTTTTAAATGATGGATAGGGATTCAGTAACTGAGGAGGGAACAGGAGGAGCATTCCAGATGTAGGAAACAAATAACAGGACTAATAATTCTGATTCTGAACATGGGTCACACTAAGCAAAAGGTAGTAACCAAAGTTAATAGTAGCTAACATTTACATAGTGTTTTAAGGTTTAAAAATGCTTTACATACAATATGTCATTTGATCCTCACTAAAAAACAGACAAAAACTCTTGAAGTAGGTGCTATTAGTATCCCCAATTTTTATAGATTAACAGTCAGAGCCTTAAAGAGATGAACTAATTAAGTGACTTGCTGAGTATCACATAGCTAGTGTGTCAGGTGGATTTGAACACAGGTGTTGCTGAGTCAAAGTCTGGCTCTCTACTAGACTTTCTTCAAAATTAAAAAAAAAGGGATGAACAGGTATAGGAGGAAGATAAGGAGTTCACTTTTGTATAGGTTTTTTGAGATGTCCATGAGATGTACTTGTGGAGAAACAGGTCTGGGGCTTAGAGGAGACACCAGTCTGAAAACCAGGGAAAGGAGATTGGACTTGATCCATTATTCAGCAGGGGGCCAGTGTCCTCTAAGCAGAGGAGTAACCTTATAAAAGTGATACTTTCTGGAGATTGGTCTGGCCATATTAATAAGATTTAGAATGATCCTACTGTCATCTCAGGCTGAATTATGATATGGAATATGGCAAGGGAAAGACTACTTTTCTCTAAATTGAGTTGTTTGACTAGATGATCTGCCAAGTTTCTTCTATAAGCTATCGTGTCTCCCTATTAGCCTTTTCTTCTGTAGGCTAATCATCCTCAATTCCTTTAATCAGTTCTCGTATGGAAAGCCTTCTAATCTTACATTAGAACTCTAAATACACTTCTCTTGTTAAAGCCCTAAGTAAAACAAAGGACTTCAGATGAGATGTAGTCTGATCACTGATTCTGGTAGTGGCTTCTGCCAGTACAGCCTAAAATTATGCTGATTTTTTTTTGTTATCACATCACATTGCTGAATCATACTGATCTTGCAGTTGATTGGAGCCTCTAGATATTTTTCACATGAATTCTCATCTAGCATATCTCCCCTATTCTGTACTTATGCAATTGATATTTGGATCCCTATAGGATTTTATATTTACATCTAATAATTTTCATCTCCTTAGATCAGACTATTTTTCTAAATTATTGAAACATTTTTGGATCCCGGTTCATACATCCAGTGTGGTAGCTATCCCTCTCAGAACAGCTAATCGTGCCTTCTGTATTTTCATCTAAGTGATTGACAAAAATATTGAATAGAGCAAGATCAAGGAGAGAGTCTTGACATGTTGTACTGGAGACTTTCCTCCAAGTTGACGTCAATCCCTTAATTGCAACCTTTTAGCTCCATTAATTCAGTCAGGTCCAAACTGACTTAGCCATACTATTTTTCAGCCCATATTTCTGCATTTTGCCCACATGAATATCAATAGAGACTTTATAAAATGATTTTCTAAAAATCCAGTTATATTCCCTCCAAGTGGCACTTCATATATTTACCAGTCTAGAAACACTATCAGAAAAGGAAATGAGATTAGTTTAGCATTACTATGCATGATTAACCATGACTCATACTGGATAGGATTGATAGGGAGAGGGCAAGCTGAAAGAATAATACGAAGTCTGAAAGAAGTGGTGAAAGTCTATTTTGACTTAGAACCTAATTTTTTTTGGGGGGTGGGCCCAAGGCAATTGGGACCCAGAGTCACACAGCTAGTAAGGGTTATGTATCTGAGGCCAGATTTGAGCTCAGGTCCTCCTGACTCCAGAGCTGGTGCTCTATCCATTGCGCCACCTAGTTGCCCCTTAGAACTCATTTAAGGCTGCATGAAATAGGTAGAAAAACGCTTGAAGACTGGTAGACCTGGATTCAAATTCTACTTCTGATATATATTGGCTGTATGTTCCTGGAAAAATAAGTTAAATACTCAGTGCTCTAGGCCTAGTGTCTTTTGAAGACTGTAAATTGCAAAGAAGGCAATGACCTCTATTGGTAGAAGGACTCTCCTCCCTAGGAACTCCCCATACCAACCAAATCACAAGTCCATTCCCTGTCCCATACTTATATGAAGGCAAGAAATTGTGATTAATGGAAACAGAAGGGATCTTAGGGATCATCTGATACAATTCCTCCATTTTTACAAATGAGAAATTGAGGCTTAAGAAAATAAGGTGACTAGCCTACCGTCATAGAGCTAGTTCACGTTCGAGCCAGAACTAGAACCCAGATATTCTTACTCTAAGTTTATTGTTGCTAATAGCCCAAAAGCATGTGGTTCTCTGTAAAATGTTTAAAATGTTTGAAAAATAAATGTTATCTTAAAGTTGCAAAGCATTTGAGTTAATATATCTGATATTTGACTATATATGGAAAAATTAATTCCTTATCATTTTTTTACATCAGGTTGAAGGTGCATTTATTCAAGGTGTGGGTCTTTATACATTAGAGGAACTGAAATACTCACCTGAAGGAAACCTCTACACTCGGGGGCCAGAACAGTATAAAATTCCTTCCTTCTGTGATGTTCCTACTGAGTTCAATGTTTCCTTTTTGCCTGCTTCCGAAGTTGCACACACTCTATATTCATCAAAGGTAAGGTACACTGGATAAGAATTAATTTTTCACTGAAAAGTGTTTCAGGAGGGAATTCAACTCAATATAATGCAAGTATATATTAAACCAGTATCTGTGATGCATTATAGTATATACTGGGAATAAAAAAACAAGAAACCCCACAAAAACAAAATTCCCTTGCCCTCAAGAAGTTTATGTTCTACTGGGAGGAGATTCTTCTTCTTTAGGTGGGAAGCACCATATCAAATAAGTTTATTTTTCAGTTGCTAATGGTTTGTACTCAACAAAGACTACGAAGAAAGAAATATAATTGCTCACATTTGTTTGGCAGGTTAACATTTTACATCTATTAACTGATTTTTTTAAATAATAAGCGAGATTAGTTAAATATAAATAAAATGCATAAGTAAAAAGAAAGTTGGATTTTTTTAGCCACTATATTTGTTTTCCTCCAAGGGCCTGGGTGAGTCTGCATTATTCCTGGGATCTTCTGTGTTTTTTGCCTTACATGATGCAATATGTGCAGCTCGACGAGAAAGAGGATTTTCTGGAGATTTCACGTTGAATAGTCCGTTGACTCCTGAGAAGATTAGAATGGCATGTGAAGATAAATTTACAAAAATGGTACATATTTTTCAAAAGAAACAAAACTGGAAAAATGCTAACTTCTTTTTTGAAGCTAGAGAGGAATGAACCACCAAAGTAGTTTTCTACTGTAATCAAAGTAGAGGGAAATGAGAGGGGGGAAATGATAATTTTTAGGATTATTATCTCTAAATAGAGCCCGGCAGATTCCTGAGGGCATGAAATATTAGACTTGTAGCCCTACAGTGAAAAATTCACAATTTTTCATTCTTCATTTTATAAAAGAAAAAGAAAAAAATACAATGAAGAGGAATTTTGTTGTTGTTTAGCCCTGTCTGACTCTTCATGATACCATTTGGGGTTTTCTTGGCAAAGATACTGGAGTGGTTTACCATTTCCTTCTCCAGCTCACTTTACAGATGAAGAAACTGAGGGAAAGAAGATTAAGTTATTTGCCCAGGGTCACACAGCTAGTAAACATCTGAAGCTGGATTTGAACTCAGGGAAGTCTAGTGACTACAGGCCCAGCACTCTATCCACTGTGCCATCTAGCTGCAGAGGAAGTTAGGTTTAAACAAATCTGATATAGGTGGCCTTTATAATTTAACCTGTTCCCTAATCCTTTCATGACCAGCCTTAGATCTTTCCTATCTGAAAAAAACTGATTTTTTTGGTTGTCTTTTAAAATGTTTTATTTGTGAAATAACTCTTCCTCATCTCCTACCACGTTCAAAGACACAAACTCACAACATCTTTTTTCCTCTTTTTCTCCCTTTCTCATTAACAAAAGAAGTTAACTCCTAAATAGAAGGCCAAGACCAAGGATTCCAGCTGATTTAACTATTCCTCTATTGTTGGACAAGGCCTGAAAGGCTGGCTGATTACTTCAAACAGTTCCTTTTCTAAACATTCACAAACTATCCCTTTAATCAGGAATTTAAGTCAAACTCATTGGACTATAGTTTTTAAACTCTATCCTCTTCATTTTTTTAAAAATGAGGACATCTTTCCTTTTCTAATCCATTCGTACCTTTTCCATTCCCCATGATCTCCAAGTATCATCAATAGTGGCTCAGCAATCTCATCTGTCATACCCTGCCAAGTGATCTGAACTTGTCAAGGGCATCTAAGGGCTTACTTAGGATCTCTATGCTAATCTTTGGTATTAATTCCCTATTAGTCTTTTTTGTTCTGAACTTTCTCATCCAAAGATCATCCTTCTTGCCAAAGAAATTCAAAGGAAAAAAAGAAACCTTCTCTCCACCATCATTCCATCTTTTTGAAGCAACAATCTTATACCTTCTTTATTACTCTTCTCTCCTATTCAACAATATTAAAAGGAGAGATTGTATGGTGTAGTGGATAGAGTGTTGGTCTTGGAGCCAGGAAGACTTAGGTCCAAGTCTTGCTTCTGATATATCCTGGCCATGTGACTCTGGGCATTACTTAACCTCTTAGAAATCTAACCAGTTCTCTAAGACTATAAGTTGCAGAGAAGGTGCTGACTTGCTTTAGCAGTGGTCATTTCTTCATCTTGGAGTCCCGTTCTACAGGTTCAGTGTCTGTCATAGAAATTAAAAAAAAAAACAAAAACCTTAGAAATTTCCTCAGCTTTCTTCAGCCTCAGCTTATTCTGAGTTTCAGTACTCTTGACATTGTTCTTACAGGATTATGTCACACTTCATATTCATGGTACAGTGAAAAGAGCACTGGATTTTGAAGATTTGGGTTCAGATCCTAGCTCTCCAATTTCTAAGTTGATTGATGAGTTCCCTGTATATCTATGGCATTCTCTTTAAACAATTTTCCCTTTTATACTCTTCAGTATATCATTGTTTGTTTTCAGAATTTCATTATCGATACCCCTTCTTGGTTGACTTTCCCTGCAGAATTTTATTCCTGAGGATCCTATCCTTTCCTTGTACCCTTTAATGTCTATTCTCTTCAAATCCAAGCTGTATGAGGCTAATTCGGCAGCTATCATAGTAGTTCAGGTGAGAGATGATGAGTTGAGAGGTGGGGAGAAGGGGAGGAATGAGAAAAATGTTGTGGAGGTAGAATTGACAAAATTTGATGACTGATTGGTTGTGAGAGGTGAGAGAGAGATTTGAGGATGACACTAAAGTTGTGAAACTGAGAGACTGGTTGGTGATTTCAAAAGAAATAAGAAAGTAAGGAAGAGGCCAAGATTTGGATTTTGGGAAGATAGTTCTGGCATGAACATGTTGAGTTTGAAACGCTTATGGGAAATCCAGGCAGCACTGTCTAATAAGTTGTTGCTGATGTTGGACTGGAAGGTGTGTACATAGAGAAGATTGAACCTATGGGAGCTAATGGGATCACTGAGAAGAGTGTAGAGAGAAGAGGAGCCAGGCTGCGGTGTATGCATAAAAAGGGATGGAATAAAGGATGATGAACCAATAAAGGGAACTGAGGAGTGGCCAGGCAGGTGGTAAGAGGGCTGGGAGAGAATAGTGTTATGAAAACCCAAGGAGGGCAGGGTTTCTAGAAGGAAAAAAAGGTTAGTAAAATATTCCAGACCTTCTCTTCTTACTTCCAACCACTTATACAACCTTACTGCTTCCTCCCTCACAACTGAGTGCTTCTTCAAATGCTAAAAAAATCTAGTCCATCCATTTTAAATTCCCTTTCCTTTCCAATTCTACATTCCAAATCACCTCAATATCATTCTTCCATCTCTCCCCCTCAAGTCTTGTAGAGAGAGGTGGCCCTCCTTACAAAAAAACCATTCCTTTACTTGTACCTGTGCTTCAGTCTTCCTTCCTCCATGAGCTCCGTCCTTCAAATCCCTTTTCTTTAAAAGTTACTTGGGGCACTGGGAAGTTTGAATAACTTATTCAAGGCCAACTTCTTTTCTACTGACCTTTTCTTTACTGTTTACAAACATTTCCGTATCTCCCAATCCTTAAAAAAAATTCCCTTGATTTTTTACCATTTCTTCAATCTATTGTCCTTTCAAAGCTAAACTGTATGCCTTCATTGCCTCCATTTTCTCACCTGACATTTACTTCTCAACCCTTTGCAGTTTGGCTTCTGGCATTATCATTCAAGTGAAGCTGTTCTTTCCAAAGTTATGAATGTTCTATTGTGATTGCAAAACCGAATGGTGCTTTCTCAGGCCTTATCTTCTCAATCTCTGCAACATTTGTTGTTGTTCAGTCATTTTTCAGTCTGGCTGTGACCCCATTTGGGATTTTCTTGACAAAGATACTGGAGTGGTTTGCCACTTTCTTCTCCTACCTTCTTCAGATAGGGGAACTGAAGCAAATCGGGTTAAGTGACTTGCCCAGGGTCACATGACTAATGTCTGAGGTTAGCTTTGAACTCATGAAGATGAATCTTTCTGACTCCAGGTTTGACACTCTAACCATTGTGCTACCCAGCTGCCCAAAAAGTCAGTTAGAAAAAAAATTAAAGGATTGATATGGAACAGTCAGAGCCAAATCAAGATTATGTAACAAACTTGTAATGGACTCAGTAAGCATAGTTGTATGATTTCTTCAATCCATGTACTTCAGTGTGCACGTGGTCCTAGCAAGGGACTGTGGTCTATTATCCTAGGACATGTCTACCTTGACTGAGGCAGTGTGCTACAATGGGCAGAGTTCTGGCTTGAGAATTAGCAAACCTGTGTTCAAGGCTTGCCTTCAATATTTACTTGCCTTTGTGACTTTGGGACTTAATTACCTCATCTGCAAACTAGGGGGATTAGACTAGATTGCCTCTGGACAGTTTCTAGCTCTAGATCTGTGATTCTATATGATCCATGGTCCTAATTTTAGAAAGAACTCATGAGGATGTTGCACTTAGGCACAGAGAGGTGGAAATCCTTGTTAGTGGAATTAGTATCTATTATTAATGAAATCAAGGAGCTTTTGGAATATATAAGCAAATCTATTCACACACATGCATGCTGACGTGTATGATATTTCAACAAAGCATACAGGCACTTTAGAGACCAATACATAAACATCTGTTAAAAGAAAAAGATGCTCTTTGATAACAATTCTTTCTTAGAGATGTCATAACCAGAAGTAGAAAAAAAAATCTAAGAAGTGTAAATGTGTCTATGGGCCCTCAAAGGTGCTTTTCTGAATTTTTTCCCTGAGGATCCCAGAATTTGAATGATCTGAGGGCTTTTAAAAAAAAATGTAATTTTACATAATGCTTTAACCTTTGCAAAGTGCTTTACATATAATATTTGGGTCCCACAGAAATTATATAAGGTATTTTTGCATGTGTGTATTTTCTTTTCTGGACTGGATACATGATTTCACCCAAGTAGGGAAATCTAAGCGTGGAAATTACCTGCACTGATACCTATCAGCAGCTCCTCTGTAACTCATGGAATTAGAGTTATTTGAGGCACTGGGAAGTTTAAGTAGCTTGCTTATGGTCACATAACTAGTATGTGTATGTCAGAGTAGGACTTAGTGACTCTAAGGTCAGCCCTTGGTCCACTCTGGCATTCTGTGACTCTTTTTCAACCCTTTATCTATCTGTAAGCCTCTCTTCAAGATTAGTAGATGCCTCATAATTCATGGAGCTGTTAAAAGCTAAACATTACTCAGGATAACCTGGAAGAACTAGCTTATTCTTCTCTTTTTTCTTTCTTGGCCATTTTTCCCCCTGGGTATATAACACTGCCTCTGCCCATGTTTAAGGAGGCCAAGATGGGATATTTAGTAATGAACACATAATTATTCAATATAAATTGATATTTCAAGTCTTTGAACTCTTTTATATGCAGTATGTTGTTTTAAAGGCAATTTTAGAGTCATAGATTTAGACATAGAAAAGACCTTAGAAGCCAATGAGTCCAACCTCCTTGTTTTACAGAGAGATTAAGTTACTTGAGCAGGGTCAGACTGCTGTAAGTTATTTCAGGCAGGATTTAAACTTAAATCATTTGGGATAGAGTAGAAAAGAAGGCATTTAGGGCAGCTAGATGGCACAGTGGATAGAGCACTGAGCCTAGAGTTAGGTAGACCTGAGTTCAAATTCAGCATCAGACATTTACTAGTTGTATGAACCTGGGCAAGTCATTTAAACGCTGTTTGCCTCAGTTTCCTCATCTGTAAAATGAAGTGGAAAAGGAAATGGCAAACCACTCCAGCATCTTTGCCAAGAAAACCCCAAAGGGGGGGTCATGAAGAGTCAGACATGACTGATCAATGACTTAAGAAAAGAAGAATCTGACTTCTAAAGTAAACATGTGACTTGTATACTTCTTTGTCATAAATCACAAACCAAGGAGTTGCAATTTGTGTGAATTACAATTATTATTTAAATAAAAGGCTCTTGTAGCTTACCAGTGGATGATTCAGTTGGCCAGAGCAGGAGTGCCTTGGTTAGATGGTATCTCATAATCAAGCTTCATGGGAACAGAGGGGATTTGGAGTCTGTACAAAAGGCATTTAGTTTATTTTCCACTACCTGGACGGCTACCTGATGAGCAGGTATCTGGACAGTTTTTTGAGACCCTAATGGACAATGACTCCATTAAAGTCTTATTGACTCATCATGGTATGAAAGTGGCCCTGAGTACTTGACCCTTATGCCAGCAGAGTGTTAGCCCTGGAAAATCCTGCTGAGCTAGAAATGCTTTTGAGGGCAGACCTGGCAGCAGATTGTCTGGTGTCTGAGGAGCACTACCTCCACCTTCTCCTTGCTGGTAAACTAGCTAAGTTTGGAAAGGTTCATCCCTAGAGGGTTTACCAGTAGCTGGTGTGTTTGTTCGTGCTCATTATGTGCCGGGGAACTAGGAAAGGGAGTCTGCACATGGGACATGCTGTGGAATATGCCAGGAAGTGGTATGGAGCCCTGAACCCCAGCAAAAACTCACCTATCAAAGCCAAAGGAGGCAGGGTCAGCACCCAGGCTAGCAATGGGGAGCATATGGAGGCAAATGAAATGAATGAAACAAGACCTCCTTCAAGTATTTAAGTCAAAGTAGTAGTGGAAAATGACAGATGATTTGCTACAATTATAAGCAAAATAAAAATGATATCATCAATAAAATAACAAACACCCTAATGTCTTCTTTTCTCTAGATTCCAAAGGATGAACCTGGGTCTTTTGTTCCTTGGGACATTCGCATATGAATCAATGACAAACTTGGGGAGAAAATGTGATAGAGATTTTGATTATATCTGGAAATAGGGAATTAATCTCTCCAATTTCTCTGTGCTTTATGATGGCATATCTAAAAACATTAATTTCCACAAATCATTAAGAGTTTGACAAATAAATGCTTTTAACTCTGTTTTTAGGTACATTCAACAACCACCCTCCCTCCTCAGATTTTTACAGCTATCCATCCTTATTAGGCAGTGAAGACCAAATCAAAGGCACAGTGTCTAGCCTGTTTCCTCTAGAATGTTTTTTCTTCCATTGTATCATGAAAATGTCATGGGTAAATTGCATGTGAGTTCATGTGGCTAGCATTTTCCTACATTGTCTTGTCTCCCTGGGTCCCTATTGGAGATGAGAAAGTGGTCAGAATACTCCAAATGCTCCAGAGTCTGATGGGGTGATTAACAAGTGGAAATTTCAGCTTGAGAGTCAGAGCCCCTAGGAAAGGGCAGTGTGATACAGTAGAAAGAGCACTAAATTTCAATCAAAGGGCCTAGGTTTGTATTTTTGTTCTAGCACTGTCTGTGTGGCAAGTCACTTAACTTCTCTGGGCCCTAGTTTTGTTATCTGTAAAATAAAGGCAATAAGTTAGATAAGACCTCTAAGATCTCTTCTAGCTTTAAATCAATGCTACTATGACATTGGATCAGACTAGCCCTAAAATATTGCCAAACTTTGGAATTGAAAGATTAAATGATCCGCAAGTAAAAGCCAGACATTCATTAGTCAGTAAGATACTTGAGTCGGAAAAATAGGATCCAAGTCCAAGAGTAATAGGTCAAAAGCCAAGGGCAACTGTAAAAATCAAATTTGGGATGATAAAATTCAGTAGAAATGTGTGCCTATTTTATTCTAAAACATGTTCCCTTGGGGCTAGATCCCACTTGAAAGAGTCAATGGGCTGTTGACAATGGGCTTTAACTTATTTGAGTCTTTGTGTCCTTTATCTGTAAAATGAAGAGGTTTAACATGATGATCTTTAGGATCCTTTCCAGTTTGAACATTTTCTGATTCATTAGTTTTTGCTTAATGGTGGAAACATTGCTTTCATTGAAAGGTAAATAATGGCTATGAAAATCCCAAAATCTTAGCATTTTTCCTAAATGGGGTTTATCTTATATGGTATACATTAAACAAATAAAAATATTATTATTATTATTTTTTTTTTTGGTGAGAGCTAGCTTATCTTTTGCCACAGAATGGATATCAGGCACACACACATACATACACACACACACACACACACACACACACACACACACACATGGATTATTATGATTTTTATTTTATTGCTTCTTAAGCTTTGTATTTTCACATAGTCAGTTTTCTTAAGGCAGGATATGCCCATGTTTTACTTTGTTTGCCCCATTCCTGAACCTAGTAAATATTCTACAGAATTGACATTCAGTAAATCCTTGGTGACTAATGAACTTTTTGAATAGTTTTTCTAAAGATCTGAGGAGTGGAGGGAAAGCAAATATATTTGATTCCATTTATTTCTGGTTTATATTGAAGAAGTGCTAATAATAAATACTCAATTTTGCTTCTATGATGAAGTATGGCCTTCCATACTTATATAGAAAACGCACTCATTTGCTGCAAAAAATTAGCCTCTATCCTACAAGCATTTGGGGTGTTCATTATCACCTCAGACTTAAAGCTGTAAGTCTATTAAATATAAGATGAGAATATATGTTAGATTGTTATTAAAATAACTACTGATCTTTATATAGTGCTTTAAGTTTTGCAAAACATTTTACATATATTATCTCATTTTAGCCATGTAACAGCCCTTCTAATAGGTGGACTCGGAGAGGTTTGTTTCAGAATGCAAACTCCCTGGAGAGATATTGATTGTTCTCTCTTTTATGGTAACATATGTTGTTAGGTAGTGATGATTAATAAATACCATCTAATAATGATGATGATATCTGACTTCATTTTTTTTTGGTAATTTTTCTCCTTTCCTTGGATTGAGACTGATCCTATAGATGAGACCCACTTAGGAAGTCCATCTACGTGATGGCATTTTGTGTGTAGACATGAGCTTCCATGTACATGAACTTATGTGAAGTCATTAGAATTGGCAGAGGGTGTGGTAGGTATGGTTTTAGTAACTATCTGGTTGATTCTATGTATTCCTATGGAGACATTTTGGCTTCCCTCACTCCCTAAAATCCTTTCATGTCTACATGCATACACACACATGTATATTCTTTCTAATCCCGACCCTTCCTCTATTTTTACAAGGTAAAGTTGGATATAAGAGTGGATCAGGCCCTCCTTGATGTACGAATAGCATGTAAGAATGTGAAACATGCCACATTAAGTCAGATTACTGTTCCATCTCACCCTGTATTCTGATCATGTCAGAAACATAGAATGATGCTTTGTGAGAGGGAAAACATAGCCGTTTTCTCCCATAATATCAACCTTAAAAAGCTAGCAATGACAAATGTCACTAGCTCGAATTTCACAATCCATTTCTACTCCCAAAGTGACAGCTGAATAAACAAAGGGATCTTGGTGAAGGAGACGCGAGGTAGGTGGTAGTGGATTTCATTAATAAACATTATATTATTAACAAACATCAATAAAATATTGAAAAACATTATTAATGAAATTTACTATCCCTTTGTGAACCTACAATCCCTTTATCTTTTGTGATTTTATTTCAAAGTATTAATAGGATCAAGGGATCACTAGTATTTAATAAAAATATTAGATAATAACTCACATTTACATAGTATTTTAACATTTGTAAAATAGTTCTCTCCAAACAGCCATATAATAAATAGTGCAAGAATTATCCCCACTTTTGACATGAGGAAAGTCAAGTTTTTAGAAGTGAAATGACTTACCCACAGTTGCAATGCTAGTAAGGATCTGAGTTGGGATTCTAACCTAGGTGTCCCAATCCATGCATGTAATTTTATTCACTTTACCATATTGCTTCTATTTTGAGGAGTTATCCAGTAACTTCAATGATTCCAAATTGCTTGTTGCCACAGAAGTTATTGTCTTTAACATTAACATTCTACTGGAGATGCTATGTGTCTATATCATAAAACAACACAATCTTAGGAGAGCCAAAATTAGAGGTTACCAAAGAGTCAGTGGAAGAGATTCAGGGTGGATATAAACAGGCTATATTGTCGTTTGTCACAAAGATGTACATTGCTATGTAATTTTTCCCGGTCATAGGTGATTGAGCTCAATTGTGAAGCAACAGATGACTAGTTCTGAAGCCAGAATAGTAGAGAATTTCATTACTGTTCAGATGTCATGGATATACTCTGTGTCCTATACTTTGTGTCTTTTTTTTCTGTTTTTTATTTTTAGTTTTCAACATTCACTTCCACAAGATTTTGAGTTCCAAATTTTCTCCCCATCTCATCCCTCCCCCCTACTCTGTGTCTTATCTCCCAAGAAACACAGAGACAAATCTTGTAAGTATCTTAAAACTGAGAGAGAGAGAGAGATGTATTCTCCTGGCTACCTTTCCCAAAGGTATAGAAAACAATACCATATAAAACAATTCAAAGGGAGATGCAAGGGGAATACTCAGACCATCATAGCACACTAGAAGTCTTATAAAGATGAGCTCCTCTAAGTAAGGTACATCATCACTGAAGATAGTAACTAGATTAAATAAATGCCCCTTCCCTGTTAGGTAGGTGTGGATTCCCTGATAATTCTGTCTAATGATCAGTCTTAGCTGTACTTATTGCTAAAGGTGGCACCTGCCGATCAAATGGGGAATGGTTAAACAAGCTGCGGTATGTGATTGTGATGGAATATTATTATGCTATAAGAAATGACAAGCAGGATGGTTTCAGAAAAAATCTGGAAAGACGTACATGAACTGATGCAAAATGGAGAGCATAGAACCAGGACAGCATTGTACACAGTAACAACAATATTGTTCAATGAAGAATTGCGAATGACTTAGCTATTCTCAGCAATACAATGTTCCAATACAATCTCAAAGGACCAATGATAAAACATACTATCTGCCTCCAAATAAAGAAGTGATATTGTTTGAATACAAACTGAAGCATGCTGTTTTTCATTTTCTTTCTTTTATGTTTTCCTTTTTATTTGAATCTTCTTGTGCAAAATGACTAATATGGAAATGTTTTATGTGATTGCACATGTATAAACTATATCTGATTGTTTACCATCTTGGACAGGGGAGAGCATAAGGAAGAATAGAATTTGGAACTCAAAACTTTAAAAAATGTTAAAAATTGATTTTACATGTGGTTGGGGGAAAATAAAATATATTAAAAAATAAAAAATAAAGGTGGCACCATGCAATTAATGATGACTTGTACATAAGAAGTTATGGAAAAGATCTTGTTAAGGACATGAAAGACCAAAAAAGTCATTTTAATTCACTTAATCTCTATGTACCTCAGTTTCCTCATTTGTAAAATGAAGGAATTGAAATTGATGCTCTTTAAGATCTCTTCTGGCTCTAAATCTGTGATCCTCTGACTTTTCTGGGACCTCCTCTCTCAGCCAGTTATCTGGTGATAGGTGCTCTATTGTAGAATAGAGTAGAAGGGGATAAAGTTGTGATAAAGGGGAGGCTGGGAAATGGAATTCAAGTCACATTGAACTTTGATACTTCACTCATGAAATGAGGGTGCCCAGGATCACTGCAGATATCACCAGGCTGCCATTCGAGTTATGAGACATTTTTGGGAAGTTATTTTATAGGTCACCAAACTCTAGTGACTACTATCATTTAATGCTTTCTCCCTCATTTCATATATCTGACATCTAAAAGACCAAAGGAAAAAAGAAAAAAAATGCTTAGGGGCAAAGACAGTGTAGCTAGAAATATTTTTACCTATAGAGGAATAAATTCTATCCGCTGTGCCTTCTCTAAACCAAGCACTATCAAAATACATTGATTTAAATGAATTCTGAAGGGAAAAAGAGAGATTCATGACAAACACTGCAAGGCACTTAGCAGAGAAATTTAGGTACATAATCACAGGAGAGATATTTGATTTAATCAGTGGTAGTGTAAAAGCTATCTTGAAGCTTAACATAAAAACAAAACAAAACTAAGATCATGACAACTGGTTCCATCACTTCCTGGCAAACAGAGGGAGAAGGAATGGAAGCAGTGTCAGATTACATATTTTTGGCCTCAAAAATCACTGCCTATGGTGATTGCAGCCATGAAATTAAAAGATGCTTCCTTCTTGGAAGGAAAGCTATGATAAATTTTGAAGGCATACTAAAAACAGAGGCATCACCTTGCTGACAAAGGTCCGTATAGTCAAAGCTATGTTTTTTCCAGTGGCAACGTATAGGCTGTGAGTGTTGGACTATTAGGAAAGCTGAGTACCACAGAATCAGCACTTTTGAATTGCGATGCTGGAGAAGACTTTTGAGGGTCGCTTGGACAGCAAGGAGATCAAATCAGTCAATACCTAAAGAAATTAATTCAGGCTATTCACTGGAAGGTTAAATACTGAAGCAGAGGCTTAAATACTTTGGCTGCATAATGAGAAGACAGGACTCATTGGAAAAGATCCTGATGTTGGGAAAGATTGAAGGTAAAAGGAAAAGGGGACAGCAGAAGATGAGATGGACAGATAGTGTTATGGAAGCAATAAACATGAGCTCGGGAGATAGTGGAGGATAGAAGGACCTGATTTTCTATCGTCTATGGAGTCATAAAGAGTCATACATGATTGAACCACTGAACAACAATAGCATCAAAACTAGACTAAGACAACTTAAAGTTGAAACTCAGTTAGTAATTCGGAGGGAAGAGGCTGAGCGGTCAACTAAATTAACTGGGTATTGATGATGGGGTATGGGCCCAAGCCAAGACCTTTGTCCCTCACCCAAAAAAGAAAATTTGGGTCCCATTTGTCTACAGGCCCCAGAAAACCCTTAAACTTTCTTTGACTTCACTCTGATCTCAAATGGTTACCTGAAGCTATACTCCACTCTATGACTTTTCCTTGTTGACTCTCTCAATCTCCCTTAGAAAATCTAATGAAGATATTTCCCATCTTTAATCTTATCCAGACTCCATTCAAACCTCTTCCTTCCAGTTCCCTTCATTATCTACTCTCATTGTCTCTTCAACCTCCCAGACATTCCAATTGGAATTCTCCCTAAACTCATTCCTGTTTCAGGATCTTTCTCCCAGCCCCTCCTCTGAATACCCAAAATTATGTGAGTGTATATACGATCTACCCTGACCTCCATTTAAATGCTCAGACTTCCTCATGTCTGCTCGCCTTTCTGGGTGTCACTAATGTTCAGATTCTTTAAGAATCTGTATGGTTTTTCCCTAATAAACTTTGTCTCTGGCTGAAAGAAGATTTGGGTCAAATTCTTTTGGGCAGGACCCACTGTGCTGTTTTGGAGTCCCAGAACCCCAAGAATCTAGACCTCAGCATTAATGCCAGAAAAAAAAAACAAACAAAAAAAAACTATAGCTTGGGACTTTATATACAAATAAATAATAGGCCAGGTTGGTGAAATCCTACATGGGAAGTGTATGCTTGATATTACACATAAGCCTGTAAAATATGGAAGATTCTTATAGGGAGATAGATGTCTAAAAGACACTTTTTTCTATGATTGCAACAGTGAAAACAAAAAACAACTTTAAGATTTCACAAGACTGCTTTTTCAACCAAGGATCTTAATATTCTTTGCAAATATCCATTAGAAATCTCTATATTACAGCTTGGGAGGCAGCTAGGAGGTACAGTGAATAGAAAGCTAGGCCTGGAGTCAGAAGACCTGAGTTCAAATGTGGCCTTAGACATTTACTAGCTGTGTGGCCCTGGGCAAGTCACTTAACTTTGTTTGTCTCAGTTTCTTCATCTGTAAAATGAGTTGGAGTAAGAAACGGCAAACCACTCCAGTATTTTTGCCAAGAAATCCCCAAATAGGGGTCGCATGAAGTCGAACACGACTGAAATGACTGAACAACAACAACAATGTTACAGTGAGGGACATAGAAGCACAAGAATGAGAAAAAAATTTCCCCATAGTAACATAGCAAACCAGTGGCATACCCAACATTAGTAGACCCCTTCTATTTTTTCCTCATGTGAACTGATTCTCTTCTTGCTTTAGTCTAAGGAATCATTGCTTTAGGATCAGTAGGCCTAAAGGTATGCATAACAGCAGATACATTCTATCTCATAGCTATCAAGTTAAACAGAATTTTTGCACAGATGTCACCTTCTAATTGGAATTGACTGCCAATGAAATTTGAGGTGAATTCTGCCTCCTGTATCTTATTCAAAAACAGTGATTTCAAAATGAATCCGACAAATATATACAACTATGAAAATGCTTTGGTCACAGTTACTACTATCCTTCATTGTTTTAGTGAATGAATGAATGAAACATTTATTAAGTACTTACTCTATGCAAAGTGTTGAGGATACAAATAGAAAAGTAAGACAGTCTTTTTTTAAAGGAACTCACATTCTAATGGGAAGAGAACACATATAATGTCATTATTTTAATAAATATTTCTTTTCCCCCCACTTAATAGTATTTTATTTTTTCTAGTTACATGTAAAGATTGTTTTCAACATTCACTTTTATAAGGTTTTGAGTTCCAAATTTTTTTCTCTCTCCCCTCTTTCTTTGCCTCCTCCCCAAAATGGGAAGGAATCCGATATAGGCTATACATGTACAATCATAATAAATCTATTTCAAGATAACGCACTTGGTGAAATGGAGAAGAATCAAGTTCCAAGAAGCAGTCAACACACCCTCATCATTTTATCAAGATCTCATCTATACTCAATCTTACATATTTTATGTCCCCTAATTACATTTTTACCCTGCCCAGAGCTGTTTTATGCACTCTGCAAGCCTATTGGCTAAAGTTTCAAGGAAATGGGTCAATTCAATGAAGGTAACTTCTTTATTAAGAACTGACAGTAGGAAAACGGTTATTACAATATTTTTAGTCTAGAAAGAACTTGAGGAGTTCAAACAAACTTTCACTATGTTAAGCAAAACTCAAATACTTCAGTTGCCTTTCCTACTTACAACCTAATTTGAATAACATATTACTCCTCAAAAGTTCATGCATGCACATGATAGGGCATAATAAATGCAAAGGTGTAAAGCATTATGTGAAATTCAGGGGAAATATATACATATGTATATGTGTGCATATGTGTTTTCACTGTAGGGGAAAATAGGAAACATAATTATTTTGTAACATTTCAGTAGAACATACCCAGTATCAACTGAAGGAGAAATAAAATGTTGCAAGGATGTGGTAAAGTTTCATTCAATCTTGTAACGGCTACTTGTCCTTGCTTCTTTTACAATTATAAAAGCATTTGGTCTCTCCTTTTAGGGTCTTGCCCCTGAAGAGGAAATGTTTTCTTATTCTAATAATAAATCTTGCCAGTTGCATTCCAAATGCAACCCTTTCTCCCTTGCCTGATTCTCCTTTTTCTCTTCTTTCTCCTGTGAAATGCTTTGCTTTGGCTCTATACTCTATGAAAGGTTATAAAAATCAAATCTAGATTCTAGAAAGCTGAAACTGCTATCAGCATTAGCATGCTAATCTTTTTGCTTTTGGTTTGGTCTTCTGTCTTTGATATATAGTCATTGGATCGCCACTGATGGGGACCAAAGAGACTGAAAATATTCCCTGATAACACAGCATAGCACAGCACAGCACAGCACAGCACAGCACACACACACACACACACACACACACTTTTAAGGAGTTATATGCTATTCAAATTAAGTTATATATGACTTATAAATATAAAAGTATAAGAATATATGTGCATGTATGTGGATATTGGAGATATATATATATATATATATATATATATATATATATGTAATACACTCTACCTTTCTATTTCAATGTACATCCACATCTATGTGATACATTTTCCACTAGTCAGGTAGATAACACTTCCTCTTCTATTTGGTAGATGGTCTTTGAGGGTTGTTGTATCATCCTGGAACTATCTGTGTGGTAAACCTCTCTCAATGTAACAGGGCTAGTGCCTGTATAGCACCTATTATCGTCTATTACTAAGTCCAGACTTTCTCCCTTGGTAGGACCTGCCTGAAGTTGTGCTCAACTCCATTCAAGACACTCAAGAGGCCAACTCCATTTCATAATGGGTCATCATATTAGGATTTTTGGAAGTGATATTTATCTTTTTTTTTAATATATGTACTGTGGACCACCCTATGGAACATAAATAGGGATGGACCTTCCTCTACTCTGGCCTCTTGTGGTGGGACATACCTTGCTGAAGGGTGTATATAGCCAGTGGCTTCTTATTGGTCCCTGTGACTTGGGAGAGGGTCAGCACTGAAGGATTTATCCTTTAGGATGATGCAACTGCTTCTTCATTAGTTCCCATGATTGTGGGTTGAGTAGAAGAGGATTTGTGAGTGAACCAGGAAGAACCACTCACTCAGTAGTCTTTAAAAGGAAAAGACAAAATCTCTACCTCTCTTTCTTTTTTTGAGTGTTTTGCTTAGTATTCTGCCAGCTCTCACTTGAATTCCTAGCAAGGAAAGGAGGGATTATTTTCTTTCTTCTCTTTCCTCTGCAGCAGCTATGGCAGTTATACATACATGGCAGGAAGAAACTGTGCTTGTCTAGGTAGTCATGATACAGAATCTCAAGTCTTTTCTGCTTTATATTTCTTTCCCTAAGCACAGGTTACTAAGAAACAAAGGTTTCAAGCCTTAGCAGTTACCTTGTAATTCCAGAGGTCATTAAATTGGATGCTGATCAACCAGTAGGATTGGCTACTCCAAGGAAGTACGCTACCTGCAGGATGAGCCATGTTGACTAACCCAACTGACCAAGGTGAATTTGAAATATCTGTTCAGTAGTCCCATAAGTCTCTCAAGAATTTTTTCTTCCTAGAAGAGTATAATAGAAGTAATGGGTTATAATTTATGTTTTAGTATGTGCACTTGTGAAACTTTTGTGTTTTAAGCATTTCTCTTGTGGTAGAGGGAATAAATAGTTGTCTTATACCTGATTGCTACTTTGTTCAGGTGAGTACCTTTGTCAAAGGAGCTGTCAATACTTTTGGCAAACACACTAGACAGAAACCATACATAAACTTTGTTTTAGAGATTTTCTGTTGAGTTCCATTGTGGAGTGAGGGCATAAAGAATCAGAGAGAACTAGAAAATCCTTATCACTTTCCTTTGGGGTCAGACTCCACCAGGACAGAACCCAGTCAACTAAGGTCCAGAGCCAGAGCCCCTTATGGGTAGGGCCACACCCTGGGTCAAAAAAAGCACACATCTACACCCATGAATATTTATAAGACCAAGTGCCAAGCAATGTCCATAACATTGAATAATAATTAAGAAATTCCTGATTAAGAGCCTGCTTACATTTATATTATCAAGGATCATCATTCATTTATGCTTTTGTTAAGTAATATGTCCTGCTGTAATGGGAGCCATTTGTTCCTATCAGAAAATGAAAACCTGTATGAATTTCCACGTTTAAATCACATATACCAGGGACCTGATGAGGATGGGATCTAGACCCCAAAAAAGGAAAAACCTTGGACTTTCCCACATGGCCAAATCTCTGGTGTTCCCCTGAGGTTCTAATCCCATCAACTGGCCTTTCATTGTGGCTATGCGCAATCTCCCAATTCTCTGTTACCCTTAACCTAACCTAGCCCTCCATTGTCTTTCCTCCCTATGGCCACTTCCCACCCTTAATTCTATCTAGGCTCCATTCTCTCTTGGCCACAGTGGTCCAGGTCTCTTGCCTTCTATTACCTCACAAACTACTTGGCCACTCCTAGATCCCTCCCATAGTCTTTCTGTATATAAGTTCCATCTTGTCTCCATTAAGGTGCTCACATTCTTACAATCTAGCCAATACCTCACAGGTGCTCAGATTCCTTAAGAGTCTGGCCAATATGGTGGATCTTTGATAAACCTTGTCTTTGGCTGAAAGAAGGCTTGGGTTGAATTCTTTTGGGCAGGACCTGTGTGTCATGATCTTAGGGTCCCAGAACCCCTAAACCTCTAGATCTCATCAGACCCAGACTCAACTAATACTTTCATGTACAACCATACAAAATACATACCTTTTTATTTAAATTAACCAATTATTCTATTTTAGAACAGGGCCATAAGAAGAATATCAGGTCACGTATTTGCTGATCCTCCTTTTTTGTTGATATTAGTTTGTGTTTTGCCATTAATAGGTACACAAATATATGAGCGGTGACTATCCTGAATTAAGGCAACTGATAATCATTTTAACGTAATAATCAACATTTTAACTTAGAAAATACAAGAAAAGTGTTTGTAGTTGTCTAAATAAAGCAACAGAAAACCAAAACAAGAAATCCTAGCAGTAGATACTGGATCAATTGCGAAACCTGTTGAATGAAAAAATAGAGTACTGGAAGTAGACCAAACTAAAAGCAACCCATGCAGCTATAAAACCAGTTCTGCAGGCAGAATCCTTAGGTCATACTTTCATTTGACTACAAGAAGAACCTTTATCATTTAACTGTATGTCTTTAAATGCTTTTAAAATACTGGTCTACATGGTGGCTTAATAATCTATCTAATTATTTAAATTTAGCACCAGGGAAAATGCAACTGAATGCAAGTTGTTTGCAAAATGCATTTTAGCTTAGTGTCCTGAGTCATTTCAATTTCATTCCACTGATTGCTATATTTTCTCATTGCTAGCAATGTAACATTAATACCCTTACCTCAAGGGCAGAAAGGTGTGCTTTATGTAAAAAGGGCAGGAAGCTGCGTGCCTTATGTAAGAATTAAATCTAGTTTTAATTTTCATATTTGCTTAGGAGAGGAGGAAATGAAGAAGAAAAAAGGGTGAGGAGTGAAGAGGGCTGGGAGATTTTTAAGGACAGGAGGTGATTGGTATATTTAAATGCAGAGAAGATCAAAAAAATTCTGGTCTCTTGTAGTTGCTTATTTCTCAATAGCTGCTTTAACTTTTCTTCACTTGACGCAATCGCAGATGCTAACTCAGGTCACATTCTTAAAAGAACCTCTTGATTTTTAGCTAATTTATACGTCAAGATCTAGTTTTGGAGGCATGATGTCTCATTCTGAGAAGTCAGATGCACTGGTTTTCTTTGTGAATGGAAGAAAGGTAAGTTTTTTTTTGTCATTATTGTTAAATGTTGGATAAAGGAGAAACAAAAACAGAGGAGATACTTCATTATATCTTCTTCCAAGCTCAAGGGAGCCAAGAATTGAGGAAAGGGTGGCTGCTAAGTGTGTAAGCCTCAAATTGCTGTGTGACCATGAGAAAATATTTTATAATCTATGGCCCTCTTTTTCTGACTATGAAATAGAGCTGTTCATTCTGTTTGTAGAGCATGTTAAGATGTAAGTATCCCTGAGGGGGTCTTAAGGTTGTTCTTGTCCTTGTATTCAACTGAGTAGTGAACTTGAACTTCTTTTGGTGGGGAGAAGGCTCAGGAGTTTTGAGGCTCTTTGACCTACTCTTTTGAAGCAGGGCAGGTTTTGTGTTGGTATGTGTTCCTCTAACTAACAGCAGGATGCAGAAATTGCTTGGTCAAGTTGTGGTTATTAAAATATACCCAAGAGCAACAATAAAAGCCTCAGAGGAAAAAAAATACTTTAGCTGCTTTAATTTTAAATTCTCAAGCAATATCTTAAGAAAAGGAAAAAAAACCCTAAAGGCCTCATCATTGACAAGCCTTTTGAAAAAACAAAAAATGAAAACAAAAAACTCCAACATGTCCAGACTGTCAGGAAGAGAAGTCCTGTTGATAAATGAATCCTGTATCTAAAGGGTCAGGAAGCCAAGAACTAATTTCTCAGTTGTAACTTTTGCTCCTTGTTTCTTTGGGCACTTACAAAAATGGGCCAAATTTCCTTTTTTTTTTTTAAGCTTTTTTTTTAAATTCATAAACTCTAGAAAAAGAACCATCTACTACATACTAGTGCGGGGTTCTTTGCTTTTCAAGTCCTTGATGCATTCCCTGAGGTGAAATCATCCATGTTTTCAAATTTTCTGGCTCAAATGAGCAAGGAGAAAGAGGTAAAGTAGAGAAGCCTGACCTGGTCTCCCTTAACTCAAAGAAAGCAGAAGCTTTCAGTTGAGCGTCCTTTCTCACTTACTAGGTAGAAAATATCTCTAGTTCTCACATCATTCAGTACACATAGCACAATTAGACCATTACAAGTTACACAAACAAAACTCCAATATTGACTGAAATGAATTAGCACTTCTTTATAGCTCCAGGTCTTCTGAGTAACGAATGTTGCCAAACCAAATGCAGAATTGCATTTTAAATGCATATTAATGTATAAAATGCAAAGGTGCATTTTAAAAGTCCTCTTCTTTGAGTGTGCCTACAGCCTTTGCCTTCTCAGTTTTTCTCTAGGGGCTGAAAAGACACTGTAGTACCAACCACTGCCATCACCAGTCTCTGTAACTTTTCAGATGTTCAGTTGAAGAATAGAGAAAATACAACATGATTTCTGCTGGGTTAAAACTCACTCAGGCCCACCCCTTGTTCTTCACCTATTGGAGACCAGGATACACACAGCAATACTTATTTTTATGCAGCGTTTCATGCAGCATTTCTTTTCTCTGAGACTGGTCTCATCATGGGATCTGAAATGTTGTGGGTTACCACCTAATTTGTTGAACATAAGCCAGATACAATATGGTAGTATGTAATTTCTTTATTGGAGGCATGGAATTTGATCAGATTAGGTGAATGAGGCCAATCTTGATCCCCTTCCCCCCCAAAAAACCCCAATCCAATAAGCTAATAAAAAAAACAAAAATAAAAAAAACTTTTCAATGAAAATTTGAATTAATTTGATGCTGTATAATAACTTTCTTTATATAGGTGATCGAGAAGAATGCAGACCCTGAAGTAAATTTATTGTTCTATTTGAGAAAAAAGCGTATCCTTTTGCTTATGCACTTTATTCGGAATTTTATTGGGCTGACTTTACTTCGAACTTTTATATACTTTGATGACCAAGTTGGACAAAATATTCTGGAAGACTTAGGCCTTTTCTTGCATGGTACCTTATTGAAAATGCAATATCCCAAGGGAGCGCAAGACTCAAAGGCTTAACTAAAGCAGCACAAATGGTCAAAGAAGAAGGGAAAGGAGGTAGCAGCAGCAGACCAGTCCAGGGCAGGAGAAAGCTATAGCTGGGAAGAGCCTTTCTGATCATCAGAATTCTTTGAGTTATTGTGTCTGATAATGAATGAACTCACCATCAAGTGAAACTACAGGGAAGTAAGAAGGCATTTCTGAGTCAATTCATTCTTCCAGGAACCTGGAAGTCATCAAAAAAGAAGGAAGTAGTCATAAGCCAAGAAACATATTCTTTGACACCACAGGTATAGTTTGAAGGCCTTAGGTGGTTAATAGCCAGTATTTGTATAGCACTTTAAGGTTTGCAAAGTGCTTCACAAATTATCTCATTTTATCCTCACAACAACCCTGGGCAGTAAGTGCTATTATTATGCTCATTTTACAGATGAGGAAACTGAGGCAGATAGAAGTTAATTAATTTGCTCAGAGTCACACAGCTAGTGTCTGAGGTCAGACTTGAAATCAAGTCTTTCTGACTCTATGTTTGGAGCTCTATCTACTATACCACCTAGTTTCTTTACCTCTTTTAGTTTTAGAGGTGATTGACTGTGATAGACTTTTTTTTTAGAAAGCACCCTAATCATGCCTGGGAATGAAAAGAGGACCCAAATTGCATAAGTAGAAAGGAATATGGCCGAGTCTCAGTCAGAAGACTTCAATACTTAGCATGGTAATAGGAACTTTTTAATTGTTGAATTAAATTCTAAGGCTCTTGACTCAAGGCTAGCCTTGCCTTCAGGTAAAGTTACCTGTAAACTCTTGATAGAGCATTTGCCTTCCCTCAGATTTCTACTCTAGACAATGGATAGCTATAGTTCTGGTTTTGGGTTTCCTTAAATGCTCCACAAACCAACTATTGATACTTGACCATCCTTTAATGCTTTAAAAAAAATGTTTATTGATTCCTTTTGTCTTTATGCCACAGAAATTTCCTGATACATTTTTCCCCACATTGCACAGAAAAGCAAAACAACCCCAAACAAAATAGTTCAACACAATTGACCAATAGTGTTAACATGCCTTTACTGACAGCATTGACAGCATTTTGCACCTGCAGTCAGGCACCTATCTTCCAGTGGGATGTCAGTGTGTTATATTACCGTTTTTTTTTCTGCATTGGTCACTGCAATTAATCTGCCTGCACCTGCCTTTTAGGCTTATTTTCATTCATATTATTAAAATAATTATGTAAATTATTCTCTTGACTCTGCTATTTTTGATTAGCATTGGTTCACAAAAGAATGTCCCTTTTTCTCTGAATTTCTCATAGTCATTTTTTTTTTTACAAAGCAGTAAAATTTCATTATGGTTGTATATCACATTTTGTTCTGCTAGTCCCCAGTTGATGGACACCATTTTGTTAATAGTGTTTGTTACTACAAAAGATGTTGCTTTGAATATTTTGGTATAGATGGGGTCTTTGTTTCCGTCTTTAACGTTCTTGAGGTATATGCCCAGTGACAATTAACTCGTTTGTCTCATGAAGTTTTCACTTATGATTTCTTGAAATATTTATCTGGAAAACCAGACTTCGATAAAGCCCACTGGGATTCAAATGGAGCTACTTGACTATGCCTTTAAACCCAAATCACTCTGGCTCTCATTGACTAGCCAGTAATAGGTCTCAGCCAAGCCTCACTTGCTCCTTGTTTGGGTTCTGATGGCTCAGAGTGAGGGTAAGCAGCAATTGTTTCTGTTCCAGCCAGGAGCTCTGAGGGTCTTCCCCTCCCAGACTGATTCTTTTGTGAAGACAAACTAAGCCATGTTTTGCCTGCATTCTTACATAGCCTTTAATTACTGAATGGGTGTTGCCTTAGACAAACTAAGACCTGGAAAAGACCCTAGCTTAAAAAGGCCAAGGTCTCCTACTGCATCCAGGATCATTGCCAGTCATCCTGACCTATATCTTGCCACTGGACTCTGGTGACTCTGGAGGAGAGAGTGAGGCTGATGACTTTACACAGCTCTTCCTCACTTAAATCTAATTCACTTACAAGTCAAGACATCACCCTCTTGATATCATTGGTCCTCTTTGAGAATGAAGGACAAACAACAACATGCCCGATAGTGGTATCTCTGGGTCAAAGGGCATGAATATTTTAGTGATTTTTCTTACATGATTCCAGTTTTTTTTTTTTTTTTTTTACAGACTAGTTGGACCTATTCACTTCTCTATTCTCTATACCAATATTATTAGTATGTCAGTCTTCCCACACCTCCTCCAATATTGACTATTTCTCTCTTTTAATCATTTTTACTAATTTAAGTGGTGTGAGAGATGGCCATTTTGATCACATTCCCATGAAACCCAGAAATCTGTCTGTACAAGCTATAGAAAGAGAAAGAAGTCAAATTAAGTTCCCTATATCTAATTCTTATGAAATCAGATCTAGGAATAAAGATGCAACTGATTTTGACCTCTCTAATTCCTTAGGATCTCAAGTGGTGTTGAAGGCAGGGGTTTCAGAGAAGAATGGTTGATGTGGGAATTAGATAGCTGGTTAGGAAGAGGATTTGGATTTCTGGACTATGCCTTAAGATATAGAGATGATGAGCTTTTGTCTAGGCATGTAGTAGATTTAATGAGGGTCAGTAAACAATATTTGCCTGGAGACTTCAAATCTTATTAAAAGAGTTTTACACAGAAAATGAAGTCAGGAGAAGGGGAATGTACAAACACATCCATCAAGTCAGATGCCATAGACAACAGCAGGCAGGATCTAGAAAGAAGAATTCTGGTGGAAAAGAAAGAGTAATTCATGAGAGACAACACTCAAGAGGAGCAGCAGTAAAAATAATGCTTTCATATATTTATTTGGTGAGGCAAATGGGCTTAAGTGACATGCCCAGGGTCACCCAACCAGTAAGTGTTATGTGTCTGAGGCAGGATTTGAACTCAGGTCCTCCTGACTCCAGGGTGAGTGCTCCATTCACTGTGCCACCTAGCTGCCCCTCCCTCATACATTTATACAACCATGGGTAATAAGAGTATGGGTAATAAGTACAAGGCTAACTTACTTCAAATGTACTATAGATCCTAACACACAGAGGCAAGTATGACCTTACAGCTATCACTGAGATTTAGGATTTGGTAGGCATAAACATACAGACACACAACTTCTGGGTGGCATAGATAAGATGTGATCTACAGTCTGGCCTATCTTTGTGGAGAGT